GTTAGGTTATAAATAGTAAAATTAGGTGTAGCTATTTGTACGCATCAAGTTTTTGGCGCCGTTGCCGGGGAACGGCTTATTTGATTTGCTTGATTTATTTGCTTTAGGTTGATTGATCCTTTCTGTGGGGTAAAACCTGCAAAAAGTTATTTTTTTCAGCTTAGTTTTTTTTTCCAGTACTAGGCTCACGACGTGAACCTTAAGTTCACGACGTGAGTTCAGTAATTTTTAGATTTTCTGCGATTTTCTTTTTTGTTAGTTTTTCTGCGACAACACGAGGTGGTAGTATTTACCACGACGTGGTGGCCAGTCTGTAGGAAATTTTTATTTAGTTTTTTTCAGTTTTACGTTTTTCATTTTTTTTGTTTTGCAGGAGTTGATGACCAGAGGATCCAACACACCTTTGGTGCCACCGCTTGAAGATCCGGAGTCTACGCTGCACAAAAAGAATAATAAGAAGTCGCCTTTACAAGAACTGAAATCAGCCTTTTCAAGGAAGTCAGGAAAGAAAACGGGAGAATCGAGTTCAGCCTCAAAGAGCAAGTTTGAAGTCTTCGATCAATTTCCTAATCCACACGAGCCCGAGTACGAATCAGAAACAGAATTTGGACTTTATACGAGTGAACCCGAGAACGAGCCGGAGAACGAAATGGCGAACATTGATGAGATGGCCATGGGGGACTACAAAAAGCGCATTCGAGATGATGTGGGGCCGAGTTTAGTACACCCTACAATTCCTGCCAATGCCACTTTCGAGTTAAAGGGACACATCCTTACTGCACTTAAGGATATTCCATTCTATGGAAAAGATCACGAAGATGCTTTCAAACATTTAGATGAAGTGAATGACATTGCTGATTACTTTAATGTTCCAAATGTTGAGAGAAATACTGTCTTGCTAAGGATGCTACCAGTTACTTTCAAAGGAGCTGCAAAAGACTGGTTGAAGGCACTTCCACTTGGCACAATAACTACTTGGGCTCAAATGCGTGAGCAGTTTTTAGATCAGTTTTACCCACCATCCAAGATAGCTAAACTTAAGAAGGCGATAGTCAACTTTGAGCAACAACCAGGGGAGTCATTATACGAGGCATGGGAGCATTACACAGGCTTGTTAAGGAATTGTCCTCATCACGACCTCAACATCCAACAAGAAGTATCTATATTTTACGATGGAGTAAATGTCATGACGCGTCAACTTCTTGATTCACAAGGACCGCTTACAAAGAAAAATCCAAATCAAATCAAGGTGTTGGTTGAAGAATTTGCAAAGCACTCTCGTGAATATCATAACCCAAGGCATGATGGAATAAAAGGCAGTGGAGGTGCACAAACTGAAGAAATGGCTGCTGTGATGGCAATGCTTAACACTATGGATAGGAGATTGACCCAAATGGACCAATCAATTCATGCAATTCGAGTTGGTTGCGAGAGATGTAGTGGCCCACATTTGACAAAAGATTGCAATATGGATGATTTCTACCATTAATGTGAACAATTTGTATTTATGAATAGCTATTATTCAAGTTCAACAATCCCTTGTTGAAATTAGTGCCATCTGTTACTACATCAAGCTATGTTTCTTGAGCTACTTCAAGTTCCATCTGCCTCTCACTTGCTTTGTCATTAGAAGCTTGCTTTCTACTAACTTAACTTTTGCGGGCACCAGTTAGTGCAGGTTCGAACCCCAAGTGAGGGAGAACTAGTTATTCAGGCGAGGGTGCTCAAAGTGGACCAACTATTTGTTTAGTTGCGACAGCTAAGAGATATATTCAGTAGGGATGTTTGGGTTTTGTAGCTTATGTACTGGACACCAATATGGAGAGAAAGAGGATGGTTGAGAATCTTCCGGTTGTTCAAGAGTATTCAGATGCATTTCTGGAGGACTTGCCTGGACTGCCTCCGGAGAGGCAGGTGGAGTTCTGTATTGATTTGATGCCAGGTGCGGCTCTGATAGCCAAGGCACCCTACCGGTTAGCACCGTCGGAGATGCATGAGTTGTCTGCACAGCTGCAGGAGCTGTTAGACAAGGGGTTTATCAGACCGAGTAGTTCACCATGGGGAGTGCCAATTTTGTTTGTGAAGAAGAAGGACGGCACCCACAGGATGTGCATCGATTATCAGGAGCTGAACAAGCTAACGGTGAAGAACCGTTATCCGATTCCGAGGATTGATGATTTATTCGACCAGTTACAGGGTGCGTCTTGGTTCTCTGAGATCGATTTTTATTCAAGCTACCATCAGATGAGAGTCAGATATGAGGATGTCCAGAAGACTGCTTTCAGGACTCGCTATGGACATTACGAATTTATGGTGATGCCTTTCGGGCTCACCAATACCCCAACCGCGTTCATGGATCTCATGAACCGTGTGTGTAGACCAATGCTGGATCAGTCTATCATTGTATTTATTGATGATATTTTGGTATATTCTAAGGCCAAGGAGCAACACGAAGATCATATGTGAGAGGTTCTAAAGACTCTGAGGAGGGAGAGGCTTTATTTAAAGTTCTCTAAGTGTGAGTTCTAGTTACGCGAGGTGCAGTTTTTGGGGCAGCTTGTCAATGAGAAGGGGATATTAGTTGATTCGGCCAAGATTGAGGTCGTGATGCGGTGGAAGGTTCCGAAGTCTCCGTCTGAGATTCCGAGCTTCTTGGGTTTAACATATATTATCAGAGGTTCGTTGAGAATTTGTCAAGGATCGTAGTTCCGTTGACAGGTTGACAAAGCAGGTAGTTACTTTCCGTTGGGCGCCTGATCAACAAGCGGCCTTTGAGACCTTGAGACAGAGGTTATGTGAGGCTCCGATTTTGACTCTTCTAGATGGTATGGATGATTTTGTGGTATACTGTGATGCGTCGATCTCAGATCTGGGTGTGGTTTTGATGTAGAGGGGTCGGGTTATTGCTTACGCTTCGAGGCAGCTGAAGCCTCATGATGCGAACTATCCCAATAATGATTTGGAGTTAGGGGCGGTGGTTTTCGCCCTCAAGATTTCGTTAGATTACCTCTATAAGGTCCGTTGTACCATTTACACGGATCACAAGAGCTTGAGGTACTTGATGGATCAGCCAAATCTGAATATGAGGCAACACAGGTGGTTGGATGTAGTGAAGGATTATGATTACGAGATCCTTTATCACCCTGAAATGGCCAAAGTGGTGGCTGATGCGCTCAGTCGCAAGGTGAAAAGCGTTCCTATTAGAGATCTATGTTTAAGGATGATGGTGATTACCCCATTATAGGAGCGGATTCGCGATGCTCAGGTCGATGCCATGAAAGAGGAACACTGCAAGAGTGAGCGCCTTGTGGGGCATGTGTCCTCTTTCGATTATGAAAGTAGGGGACTGTTAACCTTACATCGGATGATTTCGGTTCCGTATTAGGGTGGTGTACGACAGGTACTGATGGAGGAGGCACACAAGCGAATATTTTCCATTTATCCTGGTGCGACGAAAACGTACAGAGACCTCCAACCCGATTATTAGTGGCCTTGCATGAAGCGAGATGTGGCTTGGTATGTAGAGAGGTGCATAACCTCATGGAAAAATGGAGTTGTTGGGTATTCTGGTTTGGAAATAGGAAGAGATCATGATGGACTTCATCACGAAGTTGCCATAGACAACGCATGGAGTGGATTCGATTTGAGTCATTGTGGATCGATTGACCAAGAGTACGTATTTTATTACCATTCAGGAGAGCATCTCTACGGAGAATTGGGCTGACGTTTATATCCGAGAGGTTGTGGAACGTAATGGGGTTCTAGTATCAGTGGTCTCAGATCGGGATCTATGCTTCACTTCCAGATTTTAGAAGAGGTTTCATGAGGAGTTGGGTACTCGTCTGTACTTCAGCATGATATTTCATCTACATATTGATGGTTAGAGTGAGCGGACTATCCAGACTTTGGAGGATATGCTTCTGGTCTGTGTGCTAGATTTCGGCGGTAGCTGGGATACATATCTTCCATTGGTGGAGTTTTCTTACAACAACAGCTATCACACCCATATTGATCGACCACCTTTTGAGATGCTTTATGGAAGGAAGTGTGTTTCCCCGATTTGTTGGGGCGAGGTAGGTCATCGAGTCATGGTTAACACGTAGGTGGTGCTCCGGACTACTGAGTTGATCCAGCAGGTATGCGGGAGATTGAAGACCACGCAAAGTTGACAGAAGAGCTATGCAGATAGGCTGTGATCTGATTTGGAGTTTCAGGTCAGAGATATGGTACTCTCGAAGGTGTCACCTTGGAAATGTGTCATCCAGTTCAAGAAGCAGGGTAAGCTGGGGCCCAAATATATCGGTCCTTTCAGGATTATTGCCCGGGTAGGCAGAGTTGCATATCGGTTGGAGCTGCCCGAAGAGCTCAGTCAGATCCACAATGCTTTTCACGTCTCTTAACTGAGGAAATGTATGGTTGATGATTCCATAGTGGTTCCTTTGGAGGACATTCTGTTGGATGAGCGTCTGAATTACATAGAGAGACCAATCGCGATTCTAGACAAGAAGATGAAGACCTTACAAAACAATTTTGCGATTCTAGTGCAGGTGCAATGGCAGCACCGAAAGGGCTTAGAGTGGACATGGGAGCCCGAGGAGGAGATGAGAGATAGGCTTGTCAATTCGGGCGGTCGTTTTGTGTATATGCGTAACACGACACGACACAGATTGTTTTTGCATAACCCGAAAACGACACGACACGACGTCGTGTTTTTTTTCCTAACACGAACACGAATCTATTAAAAAACCGACAAACACGACTTACACGACAACACGACAAAAGTAGCATAAAATTTTCTTTTGTTTAATTAATTCATGCTTAAAAAACGACAAACACGACAACACGATAAAATAACAAAAAAAATACCAATATCCTCAAATTAATACATGCTTAAAACGACAAACACGACAAAAAAACATAAAATGGTACTAAACGTCCTCAACTTGTATATCCTTGTTATCCATTTGCATGACATCATCGGTAAGTCCTTCTATAGATAACTATTCATCACCTACAAAATGAAAAACATAACATAAAATTAATAAAAAAAAAGTTAATTAATACACCAAATTCAAATTTTCAGAAAGTAAAAAAAACAAATACCTTTAGTTCCAAACAACCAATCCTAGGACACTTTCTTATGTGACCTCACAAGCTTCCTGTTCCATTTTTTGTTTCACAGATATATCTTTTTGAGCATCTCTTACATTTTGCCCTTTCCCTCCCATCATTACCAATTGGAAGTCTTTCAAAAAACCTCCATACCTTCGACCATCGTTCTCTTTCTGATTTGACATAAACTTCTTCACCTTCTATTTTAACATCTACATCAACCACATCAGTTTCATCTTCTTCGAGGTCAACATCCTTCAAAAAAATATAAGATTTAGGTATGTAATGAATTGAAAGATTAGTAAACTTGCTGAAATGCAATAAGTTGAAATGGTAGTAAAAATACCTGTGGAGCCACAACTACAGCAGGTTCTGTTGTTGAATCAAGCTTTGCCTTCTTCATAACTAGGATGCCAAAAGATTCAAAAACGAATTAGAAACTTAATCATAAATAAACAAATGTATTACTATAAAGTAAGAGAAATCTGAACACATAGCAGTGAGTTTCAAAAAAATTTACGATGAAATAAAAAAGAAACAAATATATTACCATAAAGTCAAAAAAAAATATAGAACACATAGCATTAACTTTCGAGAGATACATACACTGATACTGCATCTTGTAACAGAGATATAAAAAAAGAAACCAAATCATACATGATACATACACTGCTACTGTATCTAATCAGTGATACCCCATACATTATACAGTCACAAAGAAAGAAACGTAAAGAGATATGCAAGAAAAGTTTGCTGGACTAAAAACTTGATTAATCCAATAAATCAGAGCATGTCAGGCAAGAAAAGGAACACATAGCAAGGAATTTTGAAAATCATATATTCTACAATCAGAAAGAAACATAAAGAGATATGCAAGGAATTTCGAAAATCATAAATGGAGAAAACAGAAGGAATTTTTAAACATTATTAGACAAACAATTTGTTTTTCCCCATTCACGATTTCCATCTGATATCGAGAAAACAGAAGGAATCATCGTTGATGGCTTGTACTGATGAGTAAAGATAATATGAGGATGTGAATTATGGTTTGATATTTGTGTGACGGCAGTCAAAGTCAAACAGCTAATCAGAAACTCTAGCTATATGATTGATTAGCTAAACTAAAAAAGAACACAAAGTAAAGAATTTCGAAAATCATACAGAATCTTATGTATGTGCAGTGTGCAAGAATCATACAAAATATAACATTACCTTGATGATTGATGAATAACAGAAGAAATCGTCAAGAGAGTTGTAATGAAGAAATCGCTGTGTTCTGAAGAGCCAAGTCGATGTGTTCGACTACTATTGCTGAAATCGATTTTAACTGATAATGTAGAGGATTAATCTGCTCTACATCTGCAATTACTCAAATATATAATCGTTGATGGAGATTGGAGAGTCGATAGAATGTGAACCGGAAGAGACGAAGACTCGAAGAGTGAAGAGGCGTACGTGAATCGTCGGTTTAATCGATTTGTTAGTGCTGAGGCCCGAGGGGAACTTTCTGGGAATCTTATAAAGTCATTAAAACAAATAGACGCTTCACTTCTAAGCATTTAAACAATTATATATACTTTAAAATAATTATAAATACATTTTCAAAATTATTATTTAATAAAAGTGTAAGTCGGTTCTATATCGTGTCAAATTCGTTTTATTGTCGTGTTATATGTGGGTTTTTAATCGTGTGTGAGTCGTGTTGCTTTCGTGTCAATTTCGTGCCAATTTTTAAACCCGAACACGACACGACACGACGTCGTGTTTTTTTTACTAACACGAACACGAATTCGAAATTCGATTTCGTCCCAATTTCGTTTCGTGTCGTATATTCTTGTCGTATCGTGGCATGTTTTGACATGCCTAATAAGAGAGCACTATCCAGAGTTGTTTGCAGCAACAGAATTCGAGGACGAAGTATGATTCAAGTGGGGAAGAATTGTAACATCCGGTCTTTGGAGGTATACTTTATTTAATTTAAATTTTGGAGTTTTGGGGGTCGCCACGACGTGGGTGTAACGCCCGTGTTTCTAGGCTAAGCATTAATGTGATGATGTAATAGTTAGTATCAACCATTGTAACCCACTTCGAAGTAATAAAGAGGAATTACTTGAATATTATGTGAATTATGTGATCTTATGTGCATTATACTTATTTATAAAATATAATAAATTAAGAGTGAAAATAAGCACCAAAAATAAAAGTGTAGATAAACCCAATATCTATGAAGAAAGTGGTAGTGGTCGTGACAAGGATTCCAGAAATATAAAGAACGCCGAAATCCGAGTTATAACGAAGAAGTTATGATCCGTCGAAGTTTTACGGCTAAACCGGCACGACACCGCGTAACGTAAAAAGTAAATTTTTGACGAACTACTTTTTAGCCTTATAGATCTAAATGAAAGTTTTAGTATACGTTAAACCGAGAGCGTGCATAAAAAGAACACCCAAATCTGACTTCGTATGAGGAAGTTATGATTTTTCTAAGATTTGACATAGCAGTGCACAACCCGAAATTTGAATTTTAGATCGATCGATTTTTGGCCAATGCAACCTAAATGATAATTGACAATCTCATTAATAGGAGCTTAACGATAAAAATACAGACGAAAATGGAGTCCGTATGTAGAAGTTATGAATTTTACACGGTCATTTAACAGTGTAATCTTCTCATACTGTTAAATTTAAAATTGGTCGATAATTATCCGACAGAGTCAAAAGGAGATTTGTAGATCTTGTCAATACCTACGCTTGGATATAAACAACGTCGAAAACGGAGCTCGCATGCGAAAGTTACGGGGTTTAGAAGTCAGCAGGGTGCTGCTGCGAAGGGGGTGACGTGGCTAAATCTGGGCCATTGCATTCTCCCCAAGTCTTACCACCAGATGGTGACATGTGACACCAAGTTGAGCCATATTTCAGCCTATAAATAGAACCCCTTCCACCCTCATTTCTTCACACCTTCACCCTTCTCTTTCTCTCTCTACTCTCTCTCTCTCTCTCTCTCTCTCTCTCTCTCTCTAAACATCCCAAAACTCCCCTAGCGCTAAAAGAAAGCTCCGGAACGCCCGAAGGCTCCGAGAAAAAGAGCTTTTCGGCTCATAAGCTCTGCTCCAGCGGAACTCGGTTTTTCGCAAAACCCGCTGTATGTGAGATACGCCTACCCTACTTTAAATATAGCTTATATTTAAATATAATATCGTTATTATGAACCTATAAATAAGATGTATCAGTGATTCAAAGTCATTGTACTGATTGATCTACTTACGGGGATGATGTCTAGGCTGTGATTTAGTGAGGTGTTTAAAGTGGGATTTCCAAACAGTATACTTCGTATACCAAATGGACCATACCTCCAATATGATCCTACCTGGTTGTTCCTTACTTGATAGATCATGAAGTAGACTCTAAGTTAATGATGAATCTAGACTAATAATTAGTCGCAATAAATATTAGACTAAAATCTAGTGGTAATGATACTAGGTTTTGTTAAATGAAAATAAATTAATAGAAGCGAAGCGCTGTCTGAGTACGGAATCACCACCTTAACAAGTGAGTGCATAGTTACTTTCATCTTACACATAAATATGAAGTATTTTATATAAATTACGTGCTATGTGTGCATATTATCTGAATACTTGTTGTTTATGCTGGATGAACGATTTTATATATGTTTTAAATGATTTAAACTGTATATGTATTTTATATCTACAAAATGTGTTGGGTAAAACATGGGTAGATGTAATAGTTGGAGTGTGACGAAATAAAATGATGAGAGGCCTCGATGTTGACGTTGATCCAGTCATCTAGCGGAGTATAGATGACGACCATAGACTTTTCTAGACAGTCTAGTGGAACGCTAGCAGGTTCGCAACCTGTAGGTGTTTGTGAACGAGATGTTCACCGGGGTACTCCATCCCCCTCACGGTTGCCTTACAGACATTTATTGCTGAGGAACCCCCTTAGTAGTAATGTCCATCCCGATGAAATTCCCTAGGCTAGGTCCCTTATAATAGGTGCTTTAGGGACGTAAAGTGAGGATAACGTGAATGGGTAATCAGGTTGTTTGGTTTGATGAAATTAATAAACTTATTTATTGTGGGTTAAAAACCCTATGTGCTCACCAGGCTCCCAAGCCTGACCCACTCAGTTTCTTGTATTACAGGTAGTGGCACAAGAGCATAGTTGGATGACTTGGTGAGGGATTATGGATTATACGTCAGTAGATATAAATAAATGTTGTAAGGCCTATGTTGTTCTGTTTATGCTTTTGATCTGTATTGACAATGACATCCCGAGGTTTTAATATAATGAAACACATTTCTTCGGAAATGCTTTGATAAAGTCTTTATCATATTTTCTTTTGGGAACAAATTCCGCAACATTTTTCTTTAAAAGGTTACTCTGATTTTCAAATAAAGCATAAACAAATCGGTATTTTCTAGCCGTGAAAATGGGGATGTCACAATGGGGACAATCGCCATGGCGTGGAGAGGAACTTTTGGTCGCGGGTCACTTTTGACTCGCCAAGACGTGGCAAGTAAGTCCACGGCGTAGTGTCGTCGACGTCTTAAACCCTATGTTTTCGGGGTTGCACCCTATTTAAAGGAATGAGGAGGCTAGGGTTTGCTCACCCTTAGCCTCCACCACCCTATTTTACCCAGAAGAAACCCTAACTCTTATCCTCCATTATGGAAGCTTTCTTGAGTGCTTCTAAAAGACTTTGAAGGAAGAAACAAGAATGAGTAAGCTAAGGATCGGCAAGAAAGCCCCATCTACATTCCTAGTTCGATTTTGGACCCTTGAAAGTGTTCAAGGCTCCACCTTTTTGATGATAGGATGTTAGATCTTGAAATATATCCCATTTTCTTCTTAATATTGATAGTTGGGGTGGTAGGAGTTCATAAAGGCTACAACTTTATGAATCTATGGATCATATGGAGTAGTTCATGGTATAGATCTGAACCTTAGATGGTTGTCTAAGCCATGCATAAGATTTTAGTCATAAAACCCCCATTTTGACCTAAGTTGAGTCCAAGACATGCATTGGACATGCATGTCTAGGCACTAATATTTAGGTTATTTTTAGTGATATAAGCTCCTCGGGAGCAAATGAGCTTGAGACTTAAGGGATTAAGTGCTTCTTAATTAAGTCTTATCCATTTTTAGCCTTTTTGGATCTAAGACTTAAGATCTAGACCTCTTGGTGGGTATTAAGGGATAAAGGTGGAAATTTTATCCATTTGGACATTAGAGATGATCAGATATGGACTTTGGAACGTTGGGAATTGGAGGATTCGACTTAACCCATTAAGACATTTTGAACCCAGTGCCCACGATGCGGCCTAGGTTGCCACGGTGTGGCGACTAGGGAAAACATGTTTGTTTCGTTGTTTGAAGGCC